CGTGTCATTCACTAGAGTATCATTTCTTTGTTCAACGGTTGCACATGAGAAGACACATGAATATGGATACAACTCAAACAAAGAATCTTATTCTCAAGAGAATGAGACGTGGTCTGAATTGGGAAACATTACGCCTAAGGTAAAAGGTCTTTATTAGTTTTAGAAAAATTATTTTTTAAATTGATTGACAGACGGTCTTATTTTGAAGTCTTTTGGTACTTTCATCACCTCTTTATTCTGTTCTTCATTGGTCTTCTAGTCCATGGAATAGGGTATGTTAGGTTAGATAACATTTATTCCGTAAGGCGCGATTTCCCGGAGCAATTTTCTCTGCTATTTGTCTCGCAACATTGTCGCGACACGAATTGCAAGAGTGTCTACACGGTGCAACGGAGATGCAATCGTTGCCAAATATAGAAACGAATTCTACTTTTGACAACAATTTCTGCAATTTGTCTCGCAACAATGCGATGTAGGTTACACGCTGCAATGCTGCATGCAACTTGTGTCGCAACGCCGTTGCGAGACAAGTTGCAAAGAAAATTGCTCCGTGTATCCACGCCTTTACTAATTGCTAAATTGTCGGGCACAGAATAAACCAATCAGAGTGTACAAGTGTGTGTGAAAGTGGCCCAAATAACAGAACAGGATTATGGTGCTATTTAACAAACGATTAAAGAAATAGAAAACGCGCGCGTGTGCTGTGTTAAGTCATAAAGCACGCGGGGATTGGCAGAACACGAGAGAAGTGTTAGGAGAAGCACGGCGTGTTCTGCTAACTCCAAAGTGCTTTATAACTCCACACAGCACAGCAAGCAAGGTTTTTTATTTCTTTTTTAAAATACAAATTACAATAACCGTTRTTTTAGATAGAAATGACGCAACTGAGAGTGCGCGCGCGTGCTGTGTGTTCTCATAAAGCACACGCTCCCAACCAATCAAAATGCGCGATTTCTAACAGCTATTTTCTTAATTAGCATTCATTGTTAATCGCACCAAGATGGTGATCTGACATTTTTTGTTGTCCTATATAGCCGCGTCCTTCGCTTTCAAACCAATGTAAAAGAACACGACCCTGAATACTGCTTGGATCATCTTGATTACTGGGGCAAGAAGGATACCAATTGCTCTGAACTACCTACTTTTGATTCTTACGGAGCTTCGGTAAGTCTTGGTTGAAAACGGTTTTTTTGACGCGCGCAAACGTGCTTCACCCATTTCTCTTTCATTGTACATTAGYTTAGTCAACCAACACAACCACAGGGACCCCAGTTTCGTTTTTATTACGGAGGACATTATCATGACCTCAAATAAAAAATAATAATAATAATTTTTATTTTCACCTTCCACTTTTATCTTAATTGGGCTTCCTGTGAAACAACTAAAGATTAAGAGGAAAATTTTTTCAATAACGAGCAATAATGGCAAAAAGCGCCAAAAACTAGACCTTCGTATGAGTTTTGATCCCAATCAGCTTCGTTTTGGGTTAACACACAAAACCTTTTTTAATTTTAAACAGTTAGAAACTGATGTAGTATGATAAAATGACTGTTTGAAGCGGTATTGTCAATTGTACAAAGATGTTTTGTTGCATTTGTGTCAGAATGTAGCTTTGTCAGGCGTTTTTATAGAAAATGTATGGGAAATAAGCAAATGAAGGCCTAAACCTCATTTGCGATTCCAATTTTTGCTTTGGGTTAACACTTTGATTCCACTTTCATCGGTCATCTCCACTTCCAAACAAGTTAAACTTTCTGAATAACAAGATTTTAGCCTTGTACAACAGCCTTTCTTCGAGAAAATAGTTTTTGGCGCTCACTGCTTGAATACGAAAAGAATTCTCTCTTAATCTCCAGTCTCTAATCCCTTGCTCGAAATGAAAATGGCTAATCAGAGCGTGATCGCTATAATTTTTTCACGATTGTTTATGTACTTTCTAGACGTGGAAGTTTATTCTTGTCCCTCTCATTTTATACTTTCTTGAACGATGTCTGCGGTTCTACAGATCGTTACAAGGTGTTCAAGTTGTAAAGGTAAAGCCCAAACAATGACGAGGAAGTAATCTAGAGTAGTAAATAATAGAACATTTTCACGTGACGCCACAGCGGCCATGTTGGGGTACCAAAACAATACATTTTCTACCCTCGGGGAATTGAACTCTATTTTTATGCAAAAACTGTGCAGAAAGTTTCTATTGTTTGGTACACCAATATGGCTGCCTTCTCACGTGAGTGAAAACGCTCTATATTTCTTTAATTCTGTTTTACGATATTGCGAGTGCGCATTTTTGGCGACACTTTAATTTCGTGAACTTGGCAGAAAGTCATATTCTAAGTCGAGTAATTTCATGATTTTATTGGATAAAGCATCCATAATTATACGTGAAGATTCCGGGCGAAAGCCCTTGGAATTAAATTCGGAAAAATTAATTTCCGACCTCGCTGGGAATCGAACCCACGACCTTCGGAATTGTACTACCGATGCTCTACCAGCTGAGCTAGAGGTCTTTTTTCCCTGCTTTTGGTTATGAAATCTTCTCCCCACCCCCTCCCCCCAAATAAGAGTCAATAATCAGAGCCACTTAATTCTCAAGTCATTATATTTTAGCGACACTATAATTTCGCGAATTTTCAGCTTCAGTCTATTGAACAAGCTTCAGCTCATTTTCGTTGGTGCCAAAACAGCGCGCAATAAAAAAAAAAAAAATGTTTGAAGAAACATAATTCCGTCTTTATTAACTATCCAAGCCAAAATAATACCTAGAATTAAGCTTGGCAGAAGCGCTACCATCAAACAAACCAACACATGACTACGCCATCTTGGATATATACTCAATAGACCCGTTTCGAATTCCAAATTACCGCTGTGTTATTTGATTACAGACTCATTTGCACAGGTTTAGCCTCGTATCAGTGTTTAAATATTCACAAATACCAACGGTAAAGTAAAGAATGCACAAGTTCAACAATACGAACACTTTGAAACTCGACGGACCTTGACTGGAACACGTGAATATTCTGCACAAACTTGAGGCTAACCCTGTGCAAATGAGTCTGTAATCAAGAAACACAGCGGTAATTTGGAATTCGAAACGGGTCTGTTTGGGAGAACTTGTGACGTCAGGGTTTAAAAAAAATCGTTTTTGAAAGTATTCGTTTACGCCGTCCTCATGAGAAAATGTAAACGGCGTTTTCAAAAGTATCTACTTTGGAGAGGTATGCGTTTCATCGGTTACGTGTGGAAGGAAGTTAAACGCATCAAAAAGTACGTACGCGTTTACGAATGAAAACGTATACGTGTGGACGGGGTCTTAAAAACGCGCAATTTATGCTGTTTGCTGTTAACGATGTGATGTGGTTGATGATTTTAATCTAATAGGCATCCTATTTCTCACCATATTAGGTTATCAAACATCCCTCCAACGTTGTAGAAATTCACATGAAAAAATCAGGGTTTTCTTGTGAAGCTGGTCAGGTTTGTAACTTTGTTGTTTATATATTTGCTGCAAACGTTATATCATAATCGGTAAAGAATTCAAGTAGCCTGTGTGCATTGACACAGTAATTGATGGTTTTCAACCATTCCCAAGAGAATAAAATAACAAAAGACACGGCGGCCATGTTGGAGGATATAACAAAAGAATTCATTGACAATTCTTTTGTTACGTTCCTCCAACATGGCCGCCGTGAAAACCATCAATAGTATAACGCGGGTAATTACCATTTAAAACAATCCATCCAGTTGGAAATTCCTTATAGTAAAAAAAGAGCGGGAAACTTTGACTTCCAATAAATGGTACACGCGTCTACCGGACAAACAAAAAGAGCGGGAAAATTAGAATACCTACTCAATTGAAAGACTGGAACTTTTCGATCAGAATGACACATACCAATTGTTTTCCAACCGAAATTTCCGGTTTTTCCATGTAAATCAATCAAAGCATCCCAAATCCTTGACAATATGTGATGTTGACTATATAACTGTTACTTTTTTCCGGATTTTAAGACCTTATTAATTATGCAGTGAAGTTGTTGTTGATGAAGATTGAAATTCTCTTTTTATCATCAGTATATTTGCATTCAGTGTTCCAAGATATCACAACTGGAGTGGCATCCATTCACACTCACTTCTGTAAGTACCGCTTTGTACGAGTGCCAAAGATTGACTGTGTTTTACCAGAAGAAATTTAGTGTCCGTGAAAATTCACTGCCTTGCCCTGACTTAGATTAGCCCAGAGATACGTGTTTTTTTCAAGGCTCGTTAAAAAATCGTAGACTCAAATATTCTCATTCCAAAGGTTTCAGTATGAGGTTACGTGCTAAATGCTCAGTCATTCGTGACAGGCGGTAAGAATTAATTTAATTTAGCACGTAGCCTCATACTGAAACCTTTGTGCGTGACAATCGAAACATATCTCGGAAGTGGGCTATTGGGGAGACCTGTCGTACTGCGTTTCCTGTGTGTTACGTTGTTCTAACTCTGTTTCTTTACTATCCTATTTATCAGGCACCAGAGGAAGATTACTTCAGTGTTCACGTCCGCGTTGTTGGAGACTGGACTTGTACGTACTGCATGTGAAGTCACAGCCAGCATATTGATTGACTTTAACCAAATCTTTTAAATCAAGTAATGAAGTGGTAAAGATTCTGCATTGCTGAAATTTTTCGTGCTTTTATTTTACAGCTGCACTTAGCAGGGAGCTTGGAGCAGATGGAGATCAGTTACGAAACGTGAGCGAACTGCCAAGGTATTCAATAGATCAATTCTATGAAAAATATATATAGTTCCGCGTGTTTGTCTTTCTTTTTTGGGTAAAGGCAATCTATCCTAATTCACCTTTTGACGCTATTATCTTGTGGTGAGCTGTTATTATCAATTGACGTCATTACTGTGACAAAGCTGGACGCCCCATAATGCCTTGCGATCCAAGATGGCCGCCGTGTCGTCGAAGTAGACACTTATAAAAACAATACGAAAACGTTTAACTAAAACAATGTGAATAATTTAGGATGGCTGTAGATGGTCCTTATGGAACTGCAAGCACTGTAAGTAGTTAGTAATTAAATTTGCCTTTAAAATCTTTATAACGATCTAAGGCCTAGGGCAAACGTCGAACTTTCCATGCACCGAACTTGATTACATCAAAGAATGCCGCCTCATTATCACCTGATATCCATTGTTTTTATTGAGTTCGGTGCATGGAAAGTTCAGCGTTTGCCCTAGGCCTTAGTCTTTGAACGACTCATTCGCAGATCGAAATGGAATTTAGCGTGATCGGTTTCGAGGAGGGAGGAAAACGTGCGAACTTGGAGGAAAACCCTTGAATCAATAAAGAGATCTAACAAACTCAACTCCGACTTGTGACCTTCTCAGCACTGACGTAAATGTTTTCCCATTTCAGACCACGTGTCATTCCCTAGAGAATCATTTCCCTAGAGAAGACACATGAATATGGATACAACTCAAACAAAGAATATTATTCTCAAGGGAATGACACGTGGTTTGAAATGGGAAAACATTACGCTCGAGCGCTCCAGAGCCGAGGAGGTCTATCGAACCCGAGGCCCYAAAGACGATCTTGATCTGATTCTCTAGTTTGCCATTGGCTAACAAATTACCTGTGGCCATTCTGTTCCATGATCAAATTAGAATTTAGAAGTTTATTTTTTTGGAGGGGAGGAAAACCGTAGTCTCCCTCGCAGCCGTTTTTAGTCTCGCTGCATTCCCCTACGTGGACCATAGACCGTAGGGGAATGGAGCGAGACTAAAAGCGGCTGCGAGGGAGACTAGAAAAACCGCCGAACCCAGAGAAGAAACCTCGAAGCACAGGAGAGGACAAACAACCAACTCTACTAATTTATGGTAGCGGGTCCAGGGATTGAATCCCATTAACACTGTGGTGAGAGGCGGCGTTATACCAGCATTATATATTGATATTTCTGATGTTCAACAGGATGTGTTCAAATACAATGTAGTGATGTGCATTGGTGCTGGTATCGGGGTTACACCATTTGCTTCTATACTCAAGTCTATCTGGTAAGTACGTCTATCACTTCTTTACATTGTTACACCATTTGCTTCTTCACGTAAGTCTATCTGGTAAGTACGTCTATCACTTCTTTACATTGTTACACCATTTGCTTCTATACTCAAGTCTATCTGGTAAGTACGTCTATCACTTCTTTACATTGTTACACCATTTGCTTCTATACTCAAGTCTATCTGGTAAGTCCAGCACTTCATTACGTTGTTCCATTGCGCTAACTCTCTACTCTAGGGAATGACACATAGTCTGAAATGGAAATAAATCTTTTTACGTCCAAGCTAGAGTTCTATTGTTATTTTCTTTAATATATATCTATTTCTTTTCAAGGTATCGACACCAGTCCTCGCCTGACAACTTGTGTGTCCAGAAGGTCTATTTCTACTGGATCTGTAGAGAGAGTTTTGCTTTTGAATGGTTTTCTGATCTACTCAAGCTTCTGGAAATACAGGTGAATGGGGTTAGAATCTGCATGTAGTACCCGAGAACTTTCTATGAGTTAAATGACAAACAAGGTGCATTCTGGTCTAGCTTGGGTTTAATCATCATAATATAAAACATGATGAACAGAAGATGTTTGTACTCAAGCTAAACCAGAATGTATTTGCTATCTAAGTAAAAGCTAAACAAGGTGCATTCTGGTCTAGCTTGGGTTTAATCATCATAATATAAAACATGATGAACAGAAGATGTTTGTACTCAAGCTAAACCAGAATGTATTTGCTATCTAAGTAAAAACTAAACAAGGTGCATTCTGGTCTAGCTTGGGTTTAATCATAATATAAAGCATGATGAACGGAACATGTTTATACCCAAGCTAAACCACAATGTATTTGCTATTTAAGTAAAAGCTAAGCATGGCGCATTCTGGTCTAACTTGGCACAAACATCTTTTATTCGTTGGTCCGGTCTTACAAGATGATGCCTTTACCCAAGCTAGACCAGAATGCATTGCATAAATCTTATTTAAACCCAAACAAAGTGCATTCTGGTCTAGCTTGAGTACAGACATCACCATATAATGCATGTCGAATAAAAGATGTTTGTACCCTATCTAGACCAGAATGTATTACTTAAAATTCAAACTAAGTGCATTCCGGTCTAGCTTGGGTACAGACATTACCATATAATGCATGTCGAACAAAAATGTTTGTATCCTAGCTAGACCAGAATGTATTGCATAAAAGCCAAACAAAGTGCATTCTGGTCTAGTTAGGGTACAGACATCACCAAGTAATGCATGTCGAACAAAATATTTTTGTACCCTAGCTAGACCAGAATGCATTGCATGCATCTCAGGAAACTCTAATGTCTCTTGTATATTTGATATCAAGATGGCTGAATCAAATCATAGTGACTTCATACAGATCAACATTTTTCTAACAAAGTGGGATACAAAAATGGTAAGTATTGGAGCTTATTTGAACACAAGTTAAGTATTCTGCGACTGCATTTGTGTTTTCTCTGTTTATTCACACTTACGTCTTTCGTTCGTTCGTCTGTTTGTCGTTCTTACACGTACGTCGTTTGTTCGTCCGTTTAACAGGCGTGCGTCTTACGTTGTTCGTTCGTCCGTCGTTTTTCCGTCCGTCAGTCCTTCGTGAGGACACATACGTCGGTCTTTCGGATCGTTCGTAACGGTCCGTCGTTCATACACTTACCTCGTTCGTTCGTCCATCTGTCCTTCGTGTGCATTTACACTTCGTTCCGTCGTTTTGTTCCTCCGTCAGTCCTTCGTGAAGACACATACGTCCAGTTTTTCGTTCGTCAGTCCGTCGTTCGTCAGTCCGTCTTTCGTCAGTCCGTCTTTCGTCAGTCCGTCTTTCGTCAGTCCGTCTTTCGTCAGTCCGTCTTTCGTCAGTCCGTCTTTCGT